GCCCCCCATCCCTGCAGCCCCCCGGGCCCGGCCAGCAGTGCCCGCTCCCCCAGAGCAGCCCTGACGGATTCCCTGGAGCACAGGAGCTTTGGGAAGGAGGGACACGGGCACATCTGCGCTGCCAGGCAGGAACGAGTCCCTCGGGCAGGAATTCACCTCTCCCCGCTGCCTCACACCCCTCTTGTTTCAGCTCGTGTTTCAGGGCCCTGGCGCCCTGCGGAGGCTCTGCGGCTCGGGACGGTCACACCCAGCTCCACAGGGATGCTCAAGGTGTGGCTTTAATCCGCGCTGCCACGAAAGCTCCACCCCACAGATCCAGCAGGAGCTGCGGGTAGGAGCAGGGACACCTGGAGCCACTGGTGGCACAACTCACACCTCTTGTTCCTCCCCATCTCCAGCAAAGTTAAACCCTAAATCACAGGGTTTGGTGCAAGTGGTACAAAACCAGGCAGACACCAGCCTCGGGTGCTCTGGAACATCCTCTGGGAGCCCGTGAGTTACTGTGGGCACTCAGCGTCCACTTCTATTTATCTGCTGATGCTGGTTTTTGTTTGATGGGTTTTATTACATCCCAGTGGTTCTCACAAAGCAACCTCGGCGGGGAAAGGCTGTCCCCACTCCAGCTCCCATCCCATTAACACCCCACCGCTCCCTGCCCCCTTTCCAGGCAAAGCAAAGCCCAGACGGGTGGGCAGAGACAGCCTTGGGCAGCTGGGCTGGGACTCAGGGAAATGTCCTGAGGCTGGAGATGGGAAACAGCCGGGCTGGAGATGGGAAACACCTGAGCTGGAGATGGGGAACACCTGAGCTGGAGATGGGAAACACCTGAGCTGGAGATGGGAAACACCTGAGCTGGAGATGGGGAACACCTGAGCTGGAGATGGGGAACACCTGGGGACTGTGGGGCACAAGCAGGTTCCAGTTGGGTTTCTCTCAGTCCAGCTCCTTGCAGCGACCAGCAGGAAGGAGCAGTAGGAGCTCCTGTGTCTGCCTGGGTAGGACTGGAGGGGATTTGGGGGGATTCACCACCTGAGCCCCACCTTTTGGGGGTGCTGCTGGTCCTTCTAATTCCCAGCTGCTGGGGCAGCTGTGGGGAGAGGCTGAGCTCCGTCCCTGGGCTCTGTCCCCCTGGCCACTCCTGCTTCTAGCTGGGGTTGCTCTGGGGGACTTGGTTGGGGTGGAAGGTTCTGGAAGGTGCTGGATCTGGGAATTGGGCCGTGTGCCCCGTTTTTAGGGTCTCCTCTGTGCTGGCGTGTTTGGGGCCAGGACTGGACAACACTTCCTCCCCCCCAGCCCTATGTCTGGGGCTGCCTTGTCCTTTTTGCTTTCCCCACCCTCCCAGCGCTGCCTGCACCTGCCCAGCTTTTCTCGCTTTTTTCCCAAGGGGAAAACGACCCCACTGACACGTGCCAAGGGAGGGCTGGAATTGCTGTCGGGATCCAGGAGGGAACGCAGCCGAGGAAGGCCCTGTTCCTCCAGCCTGGCCTCGGTACTTGGGGACGCTGTGAGGGCTCTGTGCCCCGCAGGAAAAGGTGGAGAAATCCGCAGGAGCAGCCAGGCAGGGACAGAGAGGGGAGGCTGGGGAGGGCTGGACACGGTTCCGCTGCTCCTTGGGACAGGGCCACCCCCAGCCAGGGTGACCCAGAGCCAGCCCTCGGGGCTGGGGGTGCTGGGAAGCTTTGGGAAGAGGTTTTGGGAAGGCGCCGGGAGCAGGAGAGCCCCTGGGAAGGTTTCGGTGGCAGCTGCTGGCTGCAGAGCCGGGGCTGTTTGGCACCGCAGCCCCCGGCCCCGGCATCCCCGCCAGGGGGGATGGAGCGGGGGATGCTGTCACCACGGACACGGGGAGCGACGGGCTCCGCTGTTTTCCCGGAGCACGAGGATGCCGGGATCCCGGGATGGGCGGTCGGGAACGCGGCCATTCGGGGCTTCCACCGGGAGAACTGCTGCCCGGGCTCCCCGCGGCGTGTGTGACCCCAGAGCTGTGTCCGGGAGCCCCCAGCCCAGCCCCGTGTCCTGCAGGGGACCAGCAGCGAGTGATGATTTCATTGCCACATCTCCAGCTTGTCCCGTTTGGTTCTCGCAGCCTCTGCAGCAGCTGGAGAACATCCCTGGCTGCAGGGTGTCGTGTCCAGGGCTGGCCGTGCCTGCAGCAGCAGCACCGTCCCCTGTCCCCACGCCGGTGCATTTGGGTGCTAAAAAAGAGCTGTGGTGACACTGCCACCGTGCCCACCCCGGCCGGCAGCTCCCTGGGGCTCCCTGGGGAGCGGGAGTTCCTCCTAAGACAGCACCAGGGAAAATCACTGCCCAAAGCTCCGTGGGAGCCGTGGTCCCTGCGCCTCTGGAGAGAGAAAGGCAGCGTGTGCTGCAGGAGCTGGGACTGGGAGATAGTCAGGAAAAGTTGATTTTGGATTATTAAGGGACAGGGATCGCGTTGCTGTCCTCCTGCAGCTGCCCGTGGGGAGGGGAAAGAGCTGCTCACATCGTTCCCCCACAGCAAGGAGGGAGCCCCCAGCGTGGGCTGAATCCTGCCTGGGTTTTAGTTTGTCCCTGGCACTCTGTGGCATTGGCCCTCCCTGTCCTTTCCCCAGGGGTGTTCTCCACTCTCCCACCTTTGTGCTCGTGTTCCCGTGGCTGCCGAGGCTGTCGGTCCTGCGTGTTCCCTGCGATGTGCCCCGGGCTCCAGCACACCCAGAGCTGGCAAAGCTGCGCTAGGGGCAGGGATTTTGTTGTGTCTGGGAGGTTCTGGAGAGCCACGGTGCAGCTGCAAGCTTGGCTTTCTGGAGTCACACGGGGCAGATGTGTAACCCCTGTGGTGTTGGGGGAGCCCTGATCTCACAGAGCCAGGCTGGGAGAGCTGGGGGTGCTCACCTGGGGAGGAGAAGCTCCAGGGAGAGCTCAGAGGCCCTGCCAGGGCCTGAAGGGGCTCCAGGAGAGCTGGAGAGGGACTGGGGACAAGGGATGGAGTGACAGGACACAGGGAATGGCTCCCACTGCCAGAGGGCAGGGACGGATGGGATATTGGGAAGGAATTCCTGGCTGTGAGGGTGGGCAGACCCTGGCACAGGGTGCCCAGAGCAGCTGTGGCTGCCCCTGGATCCCTGGAAGTGTCCAAGGCCAGGCTGGACGGGGCTTGGAGCAACCTGAGACAGTGGAAGGGGTGGGATTGGGATGAGATGGGCTTTAAGGTCCCTTCCACCCAAACCATTCTGGGATCCTACAAAAAGCTGCAGTGGTTCGGTGTTTTTGGTAAAAGCTGTTGAGTTGAATCACCCTGAGCTGCTGCAGAGACGCTTTTACTGACACGAGGGAGGTTTTGGACCAAACCCGGTCTCAGTTCAGGTGGAGATGAATGGCTGCTCTTACTGGGCAAAAGCCTGCAAATGTTGCCCAAATTTATTGCAGGTGTTTGAGACAACCCTCAGTTCTGGGTCGGAAGCCAAAATTTCCTTGGCAAAACTGGGATTTACAGCTTGAGTTCCTCCCCGAGCTGCCCCTCGGAAGCAGCAGCAGCAGCAGCGTTGGGTCCCTCCTTCCCTGCAGGAGCCGTGCGAGCTCTGCAGCCTCAGCAGCGAGCCACCGCTGCCACCTGCTGTCCCCGGCTGTCCCCTGGCTGTCCCCGGCTGTCCCCCGGCTGTCCCCCGGCTGTCCCCGGCTGTCCCCCCGCTGTCCCCCGGCTGTCCCCCGCTGTCCCTGGGCTGCGCTGTCACCCCCGGGCACGGCCCCACAGCCCAGGGGAGCGCTCTCGGTGGAGCGCAGGGCTGGGGGGCTCAGCCTGGAGGCTCAGGAGGGACCTTCTGGCTCTGCGCAGCTCCCTGACAGGAGAGGGCAGCTGGGGAGATCGGACTCTGCTCCCAGGGAACAAGGGACAGGACAAGATGAGACGTCCTCAGCCAGGGGAGGCTCAGGATGGACATCAGCAGGTATTTCTTCTAGGGCAGCATGGTCAGGCATTGGAAGGGGCCACCCAGGGATGTTTGGAGTCCCCATCCCTGGAGGTGTGCAAGGAATTCCTGGACGTGGCACGCAGTGCTCTGCCTGGGAACGAGCTGGGGTTTGGACTCCATGGGCTGGGAGCTCTTTTCCCACCTCAGCTGTTCCGTGTGAATCCTGGGCTGCTTTGGGTTGGAAGAGCTCAGCTCTGCCCCGGGCCAGGACTGGAGGTCTGTGAGTCCGGGCAGGAATTTTCTGCTCTCCCAGAAATGTTCCCCAGTTTCTCCCCTGGGCCCCCAGCCCTGACACGGCTGAGCTGCCCCTGCCTCGCTCCAGGGCCTGGAGTTTAAGGTCCCTTCCATCCAAACCGTTCTGGGACCCCACAAAACGCTGCGATGGCTCAGGGTTTTTGGTAAAAGCCATTGAGTTGAATCAATAAATTCCAGGAGGGAATTCTCCAGGAGAATTCCAGGGTCCCTTCCCCCCTGGGATGAGCGTGGGGAAGGAAGGAGTGAGCAAAGGCTGGGAGGGACGGAGCAGGGCTGAGACACGGGCTGGCACCAAGGAGAGAATTACTGCACTTCACAATCCACATCCAGAAAGTGCAATAGCCCACAGTTATGGGATTGTTTTTCCATTATTTCCCAGTTTATTAAGGCTATTATTTGTACTTCCACCGATTTGAAGCCCTTCCTTCTCTGCTGGCTAATTAAAAGGTGATGTTTTCACTGTGGAGCTCTGGAACAGGGAGACAGGAAGATGCTCCAAGTTCAGTGTGTGCACAAAGCCTGAGGGAGGGAGAACAGTTCTCCAACCCACAGCAAGGACAAAAAGGGTGAGTAAAACCCCAAATCTGGTCACTGTACTGACTAGGAATAATTAAACAAACTCTCCAAGCAGCCCAGGAGTTGATTGGATTAAAAAAAGTGTATTGGATGCCCAATACAAAATAATAAACATGAAGTTATTAAAAAAAGCCATAGAGGATACAGCAAATACTACAGAAAAGCAAAAAAATTGTACAGAAAGGTCGACATCTACAGCAGTCCTTGAAATTCTTCTACATGAGAATCATAAAACAATGTACAGGTTTGGTTTGTTCCTTTTTCCCCAAATGTCTGAGGGAAGCTGTCACTGCACAGCTGGACTATGACACTACAAAGATACACAATGTTCCAAAGTTAAAATCACAGGATATGTAAGAAAATGTAGCATTAAAATGTGAAAAAGTGCAATACAGATTGTACATTGAATTGAATAAATGTTTTTTTTCTTTTTTTTTTTTTTTCTCAGTTTAACCTTAAAAAACCAACTTTGAACAGTTGTTTTAGCATTAAAAATATTCCCCCTCCCCAAATTCAATGACAATATTAACATTCATGGTGTTCTACATAAGGAATATTCACAAAGGCCCCCAGCTGGGAATACTGTGTGTGTAGGATGGCATTTCTTTGGGTATAGGTAAAAAATAGGTGAAGGAACAGCTCCACACCCTCCCTTCCAGGCCAGGGGCTGGATTTTATTCTTTAAATACACATTCTGTATTTTTGCTCTGAACTGTACTGATTTTAAGTCCAAACATTAATTATCCAGGTGGCCCACGCTGCTACAATTTATTGTGAATTCCCTCCCCTCCCTCAATAATAAATAAATGCAGGAAATGGCCTGGAAATGACAGCAGAGTCCAGGAAAAGAA